TTTGAAAAAATGACATTTTTGTAAATATTTTAACGTGTGATATTTTAGTAAAGTGTCACTTGTGAAATTTTTCTTAATATAACATTTCTAAAATACTTATTTTTTGTTATTTCTCCCCGCGCCTCCGTAGTTTTTTTTTTTTTTAAGTAAGTTATTGTAGATAAATTATTCAACACAATCATAATAAGATAACACTTGCCGACTTAAATTATTGTTTATTTATTTATGTAGTTTCTATTACTATATAGGTGGTATATTATTACTCGTAGGAAAAGATAACAAGAAGAGAACATGGAATTCGCTTTCATGAGATTACGTGGGAGTGGAACACAACACCACAGTATATGAGTCTCTGACTATATACAGTATAATACAAAACATATATACATATAGTTTATAACAGGTTATTTGTTAAAAAGCTCTGTTTCACACAAAAATAAAATAAAAAAAAGCTCGGCGATGGCGTTGACGCGATATTTGATTCTTCCGATCCTTTCAAAATGGCTAGGAAAGTTTTGGTCTTATAAGATTTGATCCAGAGAGACTTATCGGTTTATCATCGGAGATCGATTTCTGTAACCGATCTACGGATCTTCGAATATCACCTACGAATTTGGGTAGGAGGATGGTTGCGATTCGAAAGAGATTGGGGGTTACAGGAAAAAATCAATTTGGTTTCCTTAGACGGAAGAGAGCACATGCGCACCAGAGAAGAAGGTGTGTGGAGCAGCAGCAGAGCCAACAGAACCAGCCGTTCATAGCGGTTAAAGTCGAGCTCGAGCAGCTCGTTGTGTCCATTCTTGATGATCCTAGTGTGAGTAGAGTTATGAGAGAAGCTGGACTCTCTAGTGTTTCTGTGAAGAGTAACATAGAAGATCTCTGTTGTTGTGTCCCCTGTTTTCTATGGCTCTTCTTCCTCTGTTGGTATTTTCTCTTCTTTAAGCCCTAACCCTAGTAAGATCTGGCATGCTCATTTGTCCAATCATCACTCTTTTGAGCGAAACCCTTTTTCCATTTCCCTTAAGGCAAGACTTTACTCTAGATCAAGTTTTTTTTTTCCTGTGAGAGAAGACTGGAACTCGGTCATAGAGGTGCTTCTAGG